AGGGACAGAGCGTCTTGTATGCAAACAGAAAGGTAAGTCATGGTGACTTGTCTGTTAATTGTAACGATGTGTCTGATGTTAAGCATGACATGGTTGATGTTACTGTTTCGCCGTTCAGGGATAATAGGAATATCAAGTTTCCTAAGTACGAACCTCGGTGTTTCGACGGAAACCCAGCTGACTATTCACAGTTTGTAAAGGAGTTTGAGATCATGTTGAGTAGTTTTTATTAAATGATGAAATGAAGTTGATATTTTTGATGAGGTACTGCACTGGAGTTGCCTGAAGAGCTATACAGTGCTGTAAGTTGATGCCCTCTAATGAAGGATACTCTGAAGCTATGAGCATATTACGTCAAAGGTTTGGAAGACCTTCGATGATTGTAAGGAACGTATACGAAGCTGTCAAAGGTAATGGCAGTCAACTTCGAGATGACTCCAAGACACTTACTGAGTTTTTAGATATTCTGATGACTTATAAGAATACCGTGATTTCGATGAATTGCATGAATAACGTCAACTCGAGTTTCATACTAGAAGTAATAGCAAGACGCCTACCTACTCGACTGCAAAGGAAGTGGGTGAAGATAAGCTCTCGTATGGAGGATGAGGGTATGGAGCCAAAGTTCGATGATATCCTGAAACTGGTAAAGGATAGCGTCAATCAATCTATGAGCAAGTTTGCGAGTCTATTACATCTCACCCCTAGAATAGAGCAGTCTGAGAGCAAAATGCAATCATTGATGACGAGTAGGCCTCAGAGAGGTGGGTATCGAGAAGGCTCCATGATGTCTAGTAATGCATATAGACCTAGTGACTGTAACAGATTTCGTAGTACATCCTCAACAGATAAGTTACAAGATGCAAGACAAACATGGTTGTGTTTTACACGTTTGCAAGAGGTGCATACAAAGTTGAACTGTGAACCAGTGAGCAAGTTCAGTGATAAGCTAAATGTAAACTCCAGGCCTGACTCCGAATTGTGTGACGATAACGGTGCGGTGAAGAAGTCTGTAGTTGCAACTGGTAAGCCATTGTTGAATAGAGTGTCACAGAATAGAGTTGCTGCTTCAGAGTGCAGTTCTGACTCCGCAAGTTTACAAAGTATAACTAGTCAGAGTAAAGATATAAAACCTTTAATGATTTGTGAGGAGGAACCAAAATTGTCTACTTCTGTTATTAAAGAGTTTGAAAATGATGAAGTTGACGGTAAAGTGAATATTCGTGATAATGTTCATGATACTTCACAGTTGTCTTTGGTTGATCATTATGAGATGAGGGATATGCCTACTACTGCTAAGTTGAACAAAATTTCTGTACAACTACAACGTGAAGTAGAATTGAACGCAGATGCAGTTGCAGAAGGCATGCATACTTGTGAGACAGTCAGTGTAAGTGATCAGCATGTAGCCCACCTATCATCAGATGCTAGTGTTAAACCCGAGCTGATAGTAAAAGACAACAGTGGTGGTGGTCTTGCAGGTAGACAAATTTCTGAAAGCGGAAAAAGAACAGCTTCTGATCCACAGCTAAGTTCATCACCTTGTGTCACTCAGTCATCGTTGGTGTTTTCATCCACAATGAAATGGACGTCCATGAACTCACGTGCCTTATGCAATGACTATGATAGTATTGGTGCGTTTGAAAAGATGAAAGATATTGCTCAGTTTAGTGAGAATAAGCCAAGTGTAAACGAGAGAGTAATTGTTAAATTGACTTGCATGAATAAAGGCGTTTCTAGTTTCAAGTTACTATTTGAATGCTATTATCTTTGGTGTAAATTACTCTGTGCCTACGCTTGGTTGATCAGATATGCCGTGTGTTTGTTCGTCACCTATATTCTACGATACAATGACATGAGCATGTTACAGTTCAGATTTGAGGATATAGCTGATAGAGGGAAGTCAGCAACTCTGCGACGATTTTCCAACCTAGGGCGTCAACCTGAGAAGGGTTGAAGGCGTACCGCTGTAAGTCCTACAATTCTTCAAAGGGTAGCGCATTAGTGAGCAGTCCAATATGCTTGGTGTGTGATTTTGTACATAAGTTCATATTGTATATACTGAATTGATATCATCTCTCATCTAGCTGTTCGTAATTCTGTTTGTGTCCGGACGACTTCCACTTGGATCATCAACCTGAGAAGGAATGTAGGCGTACTGCTGTAAGTCCTAAAATTCTTCAAGGGTAGTTTGTCGTGCCAGAATCCACAACATTTGATGTAGTGACTGTACATATGTTTGTGTTAAATAGTTGTGTGAGTTCCAATTATTGCAATTGTTGGTTAATCTTGTTTGTGTCCGGAAATTGCACAACTTACAATCGTCAACCTGTGAAGGGTTGCAGGCATACTGGTGTAAGTCCTGCGATTCTTCAAAGGAATTCCATCAAGACATGAAATGCGAGTTTGTGTGTACTGTTTGTGTATACGTGTGGCGTGTCATATCAATTGGTGTATTTTGGATTCATTGTGTTTACCTGTCGTTTTCGTACCTTGTTGTTGTTGCATAATTTTGTTAAAATTTTCGTCGTGATTACTTCTGAAGTTGTGTCCACTCTTCCACATCCGTGAATGAATTGATTGATGTTAAAGACAGCAGATGGGGCGTATACGCTGGGGAGGCTAGGCTATTGCTGAGAATGAAATGCACACGGAGATAATTGTTAGCTGCGGTCCGATACGCCGGGGAAAATGAGTGTAAACGACCGGGGCTCGCATGCGTCACCGTTACTAGAACTGAGGCAGAATGAGTGACAAGCGATTGCAGTGGTAATTGGTAGTGAGTAGATAAGAGGATGAGCGTAGAGTATCATGAGTTGGTGCTATGGTCACGTTGCATTCTGTAAGAGTCATTCTAGCAGGTGGCGATTGTGTTGCAAGATGTCAAGAGGAGGTCTCTGTCTGGAGGCGCAGGTCGTCAGTGATGTGTGAGATTGTGCTGTGGGGATGCTTGTGGTGTGTTGGCTTTTCTGTTTGTTTTCCATTTCAGCTCTGTCCGAGTGACCCAGGATCTCGCAATGGCATCCAAGTCAACGTGTATTGGTCGTGAAGGAAAAAAGGGTTGGATCCGTATTTTGCCGGGGAGTGTCAATGGAGTTGAAGATTGAACGATCAATTCTTGGTTGTTTGCTCAAAATCAACTTCCCCAATTTTCGCGGAGGCATCAATACGACAGTCATCGTCTCATCGGTCGCTGTTCAGAAAGAAGTCAGGAGACAACCATCAGAAGTAATCTTGGGATTTATTATTGTAATATTTGTTCACAGACCCTAGTAAAAACATTATTTTTATATGTTGGTGTAACAATAAAGAATTCTCGAGTGGCTAATCGGTCTTTTGGTTTTTTCGTCCGTTATTACTAAGCGTTTCTGAGAAACTTCAAGGAACAGCGTGGGCCCGAGCGTAGCAAGAGCTGGGCATTGACGGTTTATGAGACGTGGCTGACAGGGGTAGTTGCCTAAAGTCTGTCAGGAAGTGGAGTGACCTGAAAGCCATAATGAGTGATGACTTGAAACGAACATCGTCACTGAGTCTCTACTAAATGTGTGGAAGTACCGGCGAATACATATTCCCTTAACGTTGTGAGTGACAATTTCGCTGCTGTTTGAACTTCTTTGTGTCTGTACTTAAGTGAAGAAGGCACTGCCTGGAAGACAGTTTGAATCTACTAGAGATACTTAGAAGAAATTTACAAAGCTAAAATATTGCCAGGGCACAGTGGTTAGGACTCTCGCCGACCATGCACATGGTCCGGGGTTCGAGCCCTCACCGACGCACACCTGATATCTATGGTTGGCCTGCGAATTTTGGGCTTCCAATATCCACGCTGAAAATTCCACACTTGTACCAAAAATACGGTGTGGAATCAATCTGTAACCATAAAATAAATAAAAATTAACAGTGCACAACCCAGGTCACGGGGATTGTCTAATGTGGCCGGTGCCCTGTCATTCGACAACTTGGATGCAAGACTAAGCTACTATACGAAATACTGACGGACTGTAAATATTCATCAGGTGAACTGTATGACTGCAATATTAACAGAACTATCACTCAGCCAATGGTACTGATATGTATCCACATATATATATTTATGTGTGTGTGTATGTTGGTCTCTCTTTCTGTTTGCTCGCTTAGTCTGTGACCATTTCACTTGTATGAACCTGTCTCCTTTAACAATGTGTATTCCCCTTATATTATATATAACATGAGTGTTTGTTGACAGTCCGTTGCTTGGTGACATATATCCATGTATGGTGGTTGTTGACATGTCTGCTATATTTCGCTATGTATATATGGATCGATACTTCATTATAATTAGCCATTCATGTTAAGACTGTCTAATGATTGTTCACACCCTTGTCTGAATATTCATATATATTTCGCTCTCACAATTTGTGTGACACTTTGGTGTGATAATACTTTTGCATTCTCCTTATGTTTGGAAAATAGAAGTATCATCTCAAACCTAGTGGTCTTCTGATTTCCGCCTTCTTGCGTCAGGACTATTAGCTTCTCGACCAGTCCATAACAATAATTTAGCGACGAGTACATAACAGGTACTGACCTCCTATTCATCATTTTTCCCCTCTGTTTATCGCTGCTCATTTGTTCACATTGTCTCCTCCCCCCTTTCAGTATAATCACTCTGTTCCGTCTTATGTTCACTTTCATCCTTTCCAGGTTGACCTCCACTCCTTCGTTGCCTCACCACATCTCCAGCTTGTTCTCGACTGGTTTGGAAGATTATCTGGTCAAACTACAATAGTAGTCAACACGTTCTCGAAACGAATCGTATACATTCTCACTACCTACTGGATTCAACAGAACTGCCGCAAGCGATTGGATAAACTGACTTTGCTGGATTTCGCCAGAGATTTGGAGCCATTTCATGTGATCAAACAGGGAGCCTAAGAAATCAACTAGTTCATACAAGATCGCCACAAATACATTGGATTTTGAAAAGTAGGGCGCTACTTCAAAATCGGGCGATATCTTGCTTTTGAGGTTCCGTATTTTTGTAGTAAGTGCGCATGCACGATCATTGCATGTCTGCGTGCCCCACTTCACTACACAAAAATCTAAGGGTGCTTTTAGAGGTAATATGGCAGTTCAACAAATCGTGTAGAATTCACAGTGTGTACTGTGGTTGAAATACTACGAAACTGTAGAGGCTTAAATCCTTCAGTTGTAACTGCTACTTTTGTTTAAATAGAGACTGTACTAGTAAAACAATAGTACACTATTTTACATATATGTATAGTTTCTGATTTGAATCCATACATTCGTCAGCACCACGTGGTGACATATTACCTTGCGGACAGAAATGATTAATTGACTAATCCAAGGAGTTAATGGTTTCTACCTGCTGTTTCCAATGTTCTCATTGCACTGTTTTGTTTTTTTAGCATTCAGGCTCTGGCTGACTAAACTTGGCAGATAGTGTTTTAATTTCTATTAGGCCGCTGTTAACGGATGGTTGTTTGTATAACTGGTTCTGTTAGCATTTGTTGGTGTTGTAGGATTAACGCCTTTGCCACCGATAGTGAACAGGTCGTGTTCGGGTTCATAACATGGTAGGCGGTCAGTTTTGATGTCTGGTAATTTCTAGGTCGTTTTCCTCAATTATTTCTTGATGTGGAGCTTTGAAGTCTACTGTTCATACTTCTTAGGTGCATAGTTTGTTTTTCCGATTTCCTAGATGGTTTTACATATTTCTTTAATCTATAACGGAGTGATGGTCATTTGTAAGTCAGTTAGATTTTTATGGGAGTTCTAGGACACCATGTGTGTCGGTCGATGATCCCTATCCGTGGTGACACAAATCGAATAATTTGTATGTATTATTTAACGTATATTCGTATGTTTCCTGTGAATATTGGTTGTCACCAATTATACTGTTCTTGTTTACCTTTCTGCTGCTGATTTTCTTCAGTGTGATCTAACTTCACTGTTCTTTTTCACCTATCCATTGATATGAATGAAACCCTTGAGATTCAGTGCTCATCTATATTTTTCCGAACTTAATTGTATGTCGTGTCTTGGTTGTTATAGCACACCAGGGATGTTACGCAAGGTTCCGAAAATAGCATTCACGTATTTTACTGGGGCCCTCCAGACGTTGAGAACTAGTGGTTTGACTATTGAAGATTCACCTCAAAATCGACTTCAGATTTATCAGCTCTTAATTTTCGGACTCACTAGAATCTCGTTGTTTTCCACGTAGTTATCCTCTCTCGTATATTCCCGTTCGTTGTAGTGACTTTGAGTTTTTTCTCAACCTTTGTGTGCCATATGGAGTTTGGCAACTTGAACTGCTGCTAGGTTTTACGTTGAAAACCCAATCTGAGAGGCTGTCCAACTGGCTGCAACATATGCAGTGTCAAGCTAAACTTGGGAAGGTCTTTTAACAGTAGTTTTTCACTACCCGTATAGGTGAAGTAAACACTTGATTCAGGGCCTGTTTATCCTCATGTTTTGGAAGGAGCAGTTCTTCCTTTCCTTGACGGTGATTGATAGTTGCACCGCCTGTCTTTGTTCATGTTTGGGTTGATGTTAATAATGGGCATTTCAAACGACGTGATTCTTTACCAGGAGGAAACGCTTCAGTGGACATGCACTTTTCAATTTTGGTTGATTTTACGTGGACGAATGCATATATTTTTCAATTTAAAAGATGACGGGTGTTTACGAACTGAAACCAAACTGTGAGTGTACTAAATGTTAAGGGAATTCGCTCTGCGTGATTTTATGTACACAGTGGATTATCAGTGGTCTGCCGCGTAGGGTTATTTTGGGTGATTGGTCATTGTCTATGTTATTATTGGCCATTCCCCTTAAGTTTACAGTAATGCAGGTGTATGTAGTCTTTATCGTTCTCATTGATCATTACTTATATCACTTATCCAAACGTGTATTCGGTGTAGTTTCATTGTGTTTCTATTTGTGTTTATGTAAATGTTCAGAAATATGAACTTATACAGTGCCACGCCTAACTGGTGTGTCTATGTGTGCTGGTGTTTGCCGGGTGACTGACTCCGGCTAGTGTTATACTGTGCAATCATCAATTATTTCATATACCTAGGTTTGAACAGTATCATTAGGCGTTTCAGAATAGCTGATTTTAATTGCCGAGTACGCTAACTTGTATATAGATGTCGAGTTTCAGGAGTATTTCTAATTTTTAAAATTTAAGTTTTATAATCATTGTTAATCCCCTCAAAAATTGTGCAGCTTCAACGTCGAACGTGCAGTTATTTCTTACTTTACTGGTTCTTCATGGTTGATTTTAATGGTATTTTCCATGTAATCAGTTTCTTTCTCTATCTGTTGTACAGTTGTGTATCACTACATGTACACTAGTGACTGTTTTTCTTTAGATTACTCATCTTAGTAGGGTCTATCGTAGTTCATTTGCGTAAATTCGACTATCAGTTAGTGAGTCCCAAGTTCGAATTCCGTTCCACCTACTTAATCCTGGATAACTGCGTAGTATTGTCAACTGTGATACAATTAGTGAGACCAAGTTTGATACATTGGAAACCTAATATGCGTAACTAGGTTTTGACAATAGTTATTCGATGGCATTTGGTAAGTTGAGTTATTCTGTCTACTTGAGTTAGTAGGATCTGTAGGATTATGCAGTTTCATTTTGAGTAAGTGTCTAGGTTTGAAAGCTGCTTCATCACAGTTTAAATAAGTCTGTCTGTTTTCGACATAGAACTTTGCACATGTGTGGGGCAGTTCAAGTCGCCGCACTCCATGTAGCACACAAAGCAAGAGAAGGTAAAAGAAATGCATAATAGAGACAGTAAATAGGGATATGAGGCAAAAAGAATAGTAATAACGAAAAACAACAGTTTTATTGGGCAGTATAAGTCTCAAAGAGTAGATGCGTCTGCGCCACAGAACGATTTTGAGCCATATCACTGATTGTTTCCAGCCATTGGTTTTTACCATCCTGAGGACCCCAACCAGACAGCCAGTCTACACCTCCCTACGTGACTGGTTTAAACTAACTGCTGTGGATTTCATTGACTGGTGAAGCCATGTTTTGGTTTGACCGCCGCTAGCTCTTTTCCAGACTGACCCTACGTCAGCTAACATCGCCCGTCGAGGAAGGCGATGACTAGGCATACGTAACACGTGTCTTAACCATCTCAACCGGTGTAGCTTCATAGCCTCGTCGATTGATTTCTCCTCCTTACCTAGAACTCGACGCCTCACCTCAATATTGCTCACCTTATTATACCACTTCACACGGGAGATAGAGCGCAGACACCTATGGTCAAGGACAACTAATCCCTGTGTCTCTGAAGTGAGTTAGGGTTAAGTCAATCAGTACATCTATGATGAAATTGAATAGAAATGGGGATAATGGGCATCCCTGACGGACGCCATTAGTTGTCACCACTTTAGACGACAACTCGCCGTAAGCCCTCATCTGGCTGCTTGTGTTCGAGTAAAGTGACTTTAAATAAGGATTTTACATATCTGTTTCAGGCTAGACCACGGATTCATATCAGTTAGATAACCATTAAAAACCAGGGAGTACTGGACAGCTGTTTCATCCCAGTACGGGGCTCATCGGCAGTACGCACCCTTAGGGTTTTACATAATTTGCCAGCGTTCTTTCCTTTGAGTACCTCTCTTAGAATCTTTATTTCTACCGAGTATCCAGAAATTTTCCGATTAATTTTGAATACCTACAGTATGTTTACATTTTTTCATAATCATCATGAGTATAACATCGAGCGAAAAATAGGGTGTACTTAATAGAATAGTTCGTCGAATGTGTAAATGTTGGAAATGAGTGTAGACTTAATAAGGCTAGTGGGTAATTAAAATATTACGTAGGAAAGTGAGAATTCTGTTTAGGCACCATTGCAAAGGTCGAATAAGTAAAGGGTAACAAGAAGCATAATTCCGGAAACTGTTCAAGGTGTAAATAATGACAAAGTAATAAGGGATGGATAAAAACAATAAATAGAATCGAGGATGAAATGGGGATTATATTAGTTTGACATAGACGGATTAAGACCGTGAAAGTGGGAGTGGTTGAGCAAACTTCTGAATTAAAAACTTACTTTTCTGTTGCGATAACCAAAGCTACAGCAATACGGATGATTCCGAAGTGTAATGATTTTGGCAGGTTATTTTCACCTTATAGATAACTTGAAAAGAAGAGGTTGTAGGTATAGGGTAACCAGTGTTGACCAGATGTTCAATAACTGAGGTTCTTGTCGCTCTACTTCCACGTCTTCGTAGTCACGCAGCGTAGTTTCCTTACGCTTTTTTGGACAAAACTGGCATCCACCGACCGGTCCAAAGAAGTAGGTGGATTCGTAGACAGTAATGGTCGGCCTGAAAAATATTATTCTCAAGATGCTGCAGTGTGTACTTCTTAATTACTGTGACATCCTTTTAAGGATATCGGCAGGTAGGCAATCAGTACTTAAACAAAAAACCAAAGTTACATTGTCCCTTCTAACAAAACTGCACCAAGAACAGTTTAAACAGTTGAAATTAAATGGAGATCTATTAATGTTATTATCGAATTTAATATAATTTTTTCAATATTATTTAATCAGGATTCTCGCCTTCCTGTGTAACGTTTCAACTACTCACTAGTCCCGTTAATTCTACACCCCTTTCTAAGATCAGTACATACCATGAACTATTTTGTAAAGTGTACAACTTATTCTGCACCGGATGAATAATTGGAATTCTTAAAGTTGATGGTTTCTAAAGTAGCTCTGAAACACTTGGTTAAGACTCTGATAGAATGTTACGGTATCTAAATGCCTTTTTGGGGTGGTGCTGCACTTTTTAGACACAATGACACACGCCTTTGCCTTTTCGTTTAATTTCATAATCAAGCACCGTTCAGTTTATCATTGGAAATGTGATAAGTGCTATGGATGTGTTCTCATATCTGTCCAATTTCGCCTTTGGTTTTTTGGACAATATGCAAATGAGACGTTTACTAAGTTGTATGAGTCAGGTGTTCCTAAATATTCATGAATACATCTACTGTAGCTAAAAATACTTATTACTTCGTTGTTATTTATATTCGTATATATATTCTATCTCGAAAATGGCAAACGATGAAGATAACTGGATCTCTGTTTGGATCTCTTCTATCAGTTGTTTTCTAACCGCTTATTCAGTCATTTTTTATATTGACTTATAATGTCGGAACCGGTCATTTCCTAACTTCCCATCTAATTATGCTCCAGCTTTTACTTCATTTCATATGAAATGGTGAGTCTCCATCATCTTACGTCTTACCGACAGCTAAATGTTTGTTCTCTTTAAGCAGTTGTAATATAACTTGTATTGGTTATACTTATTGTTTTTATTTTTAGCTGCCAAGTTGGATGGCAGATAGACTAACTGAATTACAAGACGCAATTAATTTACAGGCGGAAAATCTGTGTAACGCAATCGGTGTGATACAACAAATTGCTCAGCCTAGCTTTTTTGCTGATTTTAATTGGGCGTCTAGATCAACCAAACCAGAATATCAAGCATTTCTTCAGTCTCAATCACCAGAGGGTTAGTACCACAATTTCAACATAAATTTGGGGGCTATATGCCATTCTTTTTGTATAATAATATTTCTTAAGATATTTCACATATCTGGCTGAAAATACAAGTAATCTGACCAAGCGGCTGGTTTTCATTCAGTACATCGAACACTTAGTGAAAAAAATGAAGCTTTATACATAGAAGCTGTACAGTTGTAGTCAACCACACGGGTCAGATCAGTAGATCGTGGTTAGTCAGGTTATCGAAACAGGAATTTACATTGTTTAGTGTGATTAGCCCCAGCGAAAAACTCAGCAATCTCCATGCGTGCACTAACCACTATACAACAGGGTGAAGCAGAGCTACAGTTCTAAAACAAAGTATTATAAGTAGATGGAGGGAGATGTTTTTTTTATTCCTTCACGTTCCCAGTGGAACGTAGGGTTTGAAGGTAAAAAAGGCTTGAAGTATCTATAGCAGTGTTTATGTTTACAGGATGGGGTTGCTAGCCTCATGCCCAACATTCCCTCCTTACCAGTTCTATTAATGGCCTAGCGAAGGTGAAGAAGGCCGGGGATTGAATCCCGGACGATGTGCATGGTCGGCGAGCGTCCTAACCGCTGTGCCGCCGACGCTGAGGTAGATGTTGGGCACTAATTCTTTATTCATGGGATTTAAACCTAGCACATACAGTAGGAATGACGCAGTGCCGAAACTGTAGATATGGAAGAATGTAATGAGTAAGAGTAGTGGAATGACGTTAACAGAGTTTGAAAGTTATGTGAATGTTTTGATATTACTATGAGGGATATAGTAATGTCATCAGTAAGTAATACTGTATTATTACGCCATTCTATCAAATGCAATTATTCTGAGATGGAATGATATTATGTTTTTTGAACTACACTCATTGATACTGTAGCATCTTTTTCTTACTGCGGACTCATTTTTTCTTTTCACTGCGTTTCGAGTGGGGCGGGAAGCTTTATGTCTTGAAGTTTCAGTGGCGGTGTTGTATTTTCCTATGGAGTAGGTTGCTAGCGTCAAGCCCAGCATTTCCTCCCTTTCAGGCTTATTACCGAATGGTAAACTAGCCAAGGATTAGGTCGGGAAATCGAACCGGGACCTTTTATGTAGCTGGCTAGTTGTCATCATTAAAGTAACGCTCCTTCTGAAGGTTATTTTTTAGTAATAATTGCATAATATCTTAAAATATGATTAGCGATAGAATTAAATTTCAGTTAGATTTTTGGTTTATTTCTCTAACTGCAGATATTAGTCGAAATTTTGCAGTCGCGATTTCTTCAACTGCAAAACAGTTGGATGTACTGATCGGAGCTTTACCAGAAGAAGAAGCCAGTGCAGATATTCAACGGGCAACTGTTCAGAAACTTCTTGAAGCCTATAGAACAGAAGGCGTGAAGCTTACACGTATCACAAATAGACTCGAGTCAAGGTTAGCTGAAGTACGTCGCTCCTTGGCAACCATTGCACAAAAACAACTCACCAGTCAATCATTAGAATCAGAGGTATTAAATAAGATTTGAACTACTGCTGTCATCTTGTGCATAATTAAGTTTTTATTTCTAATCTTTGGTCATTGCATAGGTGACATGATGTCGAATAGATTATAAGTGATTTCTGGTTAACATTTTTAATTGAATAATGTCCACTTTGCTGCAATGAAAAACTATTGATAAGGAAATATGTCAGTAGAATCTGTATAAATGAAACTCAGTATATTAGTTGCTCCTCTTAATAAATACTTGGGACAGTTATTTAAACTAAGTGAAAGTCAATGCAATATCGTCACAATTTCATCTTAGACAAATAGAACAGGGTCTGCATTAACGACTTATTAGATCTATTTTGTGTATTGGTTTGATATATACAACTTTCCCAACCACTTTGATGTCTTTTAGGTGTATTATTTCTCCCTACATAGTTTATAATCCATAAACGTTTAGATCTGAGATATAGCTTTATATATATATATATATATATATTCTTTTGGCTCTTCTGTACTAATGTATTATTTTGAAGTATTGTTTTTTTTGTCGTAGGGATTTTGTTTGTTTGGTTTAAGGATTTCATCATGAGCTGACATCAGTTACAGAACCATTGGAAAACCACCTGGGAGTACTGGGTAGCTGTTTCGACATGAGTTGGCAGGAGTTGGAATTCATGGGTTGGCCATTGGATCGGGTCCCAGTGGCTTAATGGTCTACGAGCTCACTAGCCTTGTAACCAGAAAGTTCTGGGTTCGAACCACTTGGTGTGGTTGAGTACCACTGGACGAAACAGTTGTCCAGCACTCCCAGGTGTTCCAATGGTTCTCTAACCGAGGTCAGCTCATTATGAAATCTTCCAACTAATGTGTATTATTTCTCATATTTCCATATAACGCTTTGTTTGACAAGTGTTTATTTAAGAATGTTTTCTTACAATAATAAAAATACTTTGTCATTTTCATGACTGTTTTACATGTAATTTTTTTAACTTGTAGGTCTACAGAGAATTTTATGGATACTAAACCAGATCCGTTGTTGTTTGACTCGACCTATGAAGTTCCTGATTCCCTTTTACCTTCATCATCTAAATCACCACCGATTTCACATGTTTCTTGGCTTACATACTTAACTGTCATATTTCTAGTGATTTTATTCTTTCGGGTTTGCTTTTCATTTGGCGCTGTGGATCGACTACACAGCCTTCTAAACTTCATATTAACCATAGCCACATCTTCTGGTCGACGACAGAGGGCGCTGCGTAAAATGTGTGCAACTGAGTTAGAAGCTCTGAGAAACCAAATAAAAACTGTGCATATGGTTGATAATTTTGCTACTTATTCAAAATTAGAACGAAAAATAAAGGCTTTAGAGCGTCAGCTGAGGGATCTAGCTCCTGAAACACTGGTCGGATCTGTGAGTTTGATGCATTTTTAGTGGGTTTTGTTTTTATTGCTGTTAAAAGTTGATAGGTAATTGTTTTTAAGATATTTCTGTATATTACTTCAAAGTATCACTTTTCAGTATATCGTAAAATTTACTAGGATGAAGGGGAAAAGAAATTACGAGAATTATCACGTTTTAACACGATCTGAAAAAGAGCGGGCGCTATTTCTAGTGAAATATTCACGTCTACTTAAGAAAAATACTGTAAAATCTGATGTGTGCTTTCAGAAAATGTCGGTCATTTTTAATTACGAATTGGGGCAAAGTTAAACTATCATAGCCAGAAACACAGTGACCTCAAACAACCAATCAGGATTCACATACAACAAAGTCGCATAATAGTTGGAAAATGCACTGAAAACCACTGAAAACATGATATAACACTATAGTTGTCGATTATATCTTGTAAGAGTGTCTCTCAATTACTACTACACAAATAATCTATAAAGAAATCATACCATGCATGATAGATGCATTCATCCAGGTGGCTGTAGTATATGGTACTTTAAGATCTATTACTATTTTGACACTGTTCTATTAGCCTACTTCTAACTCTAACTATAATCCTGACTCCTAATCCCAACCTTAACCCTAAACCCTGATCTACAACACCACTTAACAGTATAGAATTACAGAAAAAGTAACTAAGGTATAAGTGGATAACTGTATCTACCTTCTTCAAGTCCAAAAAGGCAAACATGATATGATTTGGAATGATCTTTCATAGTGTCTATCCCCTGTATCTGACTGGTTCTTGAAGTTCAACTTTTGAGAGACCTTGACTGTGGGGCTATGATAGTTTAACTTCGCCTGAATTGGTTTTTATTAGAAATATCTTGGATATATTTTTCTCAAATACAAATAAAGACTTAATCGACTGTATTCTCATCTATATAATTAAACCACTCATTCAGTGTACTTCAATGCCCTCTCTGGTGTTGGTGAAATACCTGCTTATCTTTTGAAGACTGCGTTCAACAGTCTACTTTTCTCAACATTATAGTTACCCCAGATATGACGAATTAACAATGAAATGCATTGAATGGCTACATGAACACATAACCATTGTTTGTATGTCAGAATAAGTATTCTGGCAAATATTTCACTAATGTTACGAATAGCTATTCGAAAATAGGATTTTTCTGTAATGTTTGCTATTCGACTCAGTTACTATAAAAGAGCGGGTGTACTGCTCATCAGTCCGCTCCGTCCCCCTTTATGGATGTGAAACCTGGCCACTGAGAGTGGAAGACATGAAAAGATTAGCTGTCTTTGATCATAGATGCCTGCGTCCTATCTCCCGTGTGAAGTGACATAATAAGGTGAGCAATATTGAGGTTACTTACTACTTACTTTACTTCGGCTATCTCCTACGGGAGGATGAGCCGGCTTCATGAACCATGAAGTTTCATGGGAATTGGGTACGAGTGATGTCCCCAGCATCGCTCGGCCTTTTGTTTGAGAGTGCAGCTCTAGCCTTTACACAACCAAGTGTGACCTACAAGGCAGTAGGAGTGGAGTAGGGAGTCCACTATCCATTGGCAGCCGGTGACCGGAGTCCGGTTCATTCGCCTTTTTGAATGGGGCCAGTCATCCAGGGCATCCAATAAACCCTTTGTCCATACGTCTGCCGGTGAGCTTCATACGCCAGTCGTTGGAGGTTTGGAATCAGGGTTTAGCCATCTCCCCTAGACTGTCATCCAATGGACAGTCAACCCGGTGAAGAGCGCCGGGAATCCGCTTTTGCCCTCTCACTTCGGTGAAAAACACCTCTGCCACGTGAAGGCAGTGAGTAGGACTTCCTCAGGAGAGGCTATGTAAGACGCCCGGTCATATGGGAGCATTTCAAAAGGTGTACGGAGGGGTGGCCAACCCGCAGCGCAAGACACCCACCCCCGACCATCCTGAGGCTTTGGAGGCATCAATCGAGTGCTAGGTAAACAGGAAATCAATCGACGAAGTTGTGAAGTTACAAAGACTGAGATGGTTAGGACATGTGTTACGTATGCCTAGTTATCGCCTTCCTCGACGAGCGATGTTAGCGGATACAGGGTCAGGCTGGAAAAAATCTAGAGGCGGTCAAACCAAAACATGGCTTCACCAGTCAATGAAATCTACAACAGTTAGTTTAAACCAGTCACGTAGGAAGGTGTAGACTTCCTGGTTGGGGTCCCCGGGACGGTAAAAGCCAATGGCTGGAAACATTTGGTGACATGGCTCAAAATCGTTCTCAATGGCTATCGCAGATGCATCCACTCCTTGTGACTTATGATTTCCAATGAAACTGTTTTGTTCTTCGTTATTACTCTTCCTTTGTCTCACACCTCTGTTTACTGTCTCTATTATGCTTTTCTTGTACTTTCTTCTCTTGCTTTGTGTGCTACAAGGAGGGAGTGTGGCGACTTGAACTGGTGCACATATGTGCAAAGTTCTATGTCGAAAACAGACAGATCTTCCAAATCGATTATTTTTATCAGTTGAACTTTACATAATGGTATAAATATACTGATTTGTTATCATCCAGATTCTGGAAATCCTGACAAATCTTCGTTTGATTATACTCTCGCCTGTGCATCTTTTTATTTGTTATAGTTGGAGTGCATTTCTTTTCACTAGCGCTTATGTGTGCTTTTTTAGAGTGTGGAAACCTGAACTAATGTACAGAGTTTTAATTGAATAAATCAGTCAGTTTACTTCTTTGTCTCGAACAACTTTAATGCATTTAATTTATCCATTGAGTTATTAGCATAAAAGTTGTTTATCGCGTTTTGGCTTTATTGTGTGTTTTAGGGTAAGACTTGATGAATATAAACTGTAGAAATCGGTGTCTGTTTCATAAGATGTGTAGCTCTAATTTACTGTCAAGCTCAAATATAAGGGTTTGATAGATGCGATATGAGCATACATGAATGAAGAGTTGACTTTAATTTGTATCGTACAATAATAGACATCTTAATGTTAGAAAAAAGATAACAGGAAGTTCAACAAAGATATCTTTTCGGCGACTTTATTTTCAAAAGCTATACAATCGAATATAAATACATAATTTTACACGGATACAATTCTTGTTTGATTCCACATAATTACGACGGTGAATAAAAGGTGACAATTATTTTCGACTAGATATGGTTTACGAGAGGCTTAGAGACAAAATTACACGGGATTATACCAAATTACAGGTATATAGAAAATGAGCATAGAAACAAAATTGAAATAATAGTTGTTAACTTGAAATGGAAGTTAGGAGGTGTGAATATAGATTACAGGAGCCTTAGAAACACAAAATTGCACAGGATTAAGATATAATTGTAAAATAGTTATTTTAAACGAATTATAAATGTGAGCAGGTATTTGTCGCTAAGCCTCTCGTAAACCATATCTAGTCGAAAATAATTGTCACCTTTTATTCACCGTCGTAATTATGTGGAATCAAACAAGAATTGTATCCGTGTAAAATTATGTATTTATATTCGATTGTATAGCTTTTGAAAATAAAATCGCCGAAAAGATATCTTTGTTGAACTTCCTGTTCCCTTCTTTCTATTGTCCTTATGGGTGTTTTCCATGATCTTAAAGTAATGTGGTGAATACTTTCATGAATGATCCTAGCGGACTGCAGAAAATCTAATGTTATGCTAAATACACAGCGAGTAATCCTGGTGAGATGATGCTACCCAGATACTTGAGCTGAAGTGGAATGGGATTCAAAAGTTGAGAACAGCTGTTGTTTCCTAGTTTGAAACTCTCCAACAGTATAAACCCGTCACCCTAGTGGGGATCAGACTCACGGCATTCAGGTTACAAGGCGAAGTCATTAACCGTTCAACCACTGGCCTATGACTGATAAATTCTGTCAGTTCGAAACTTTTTACCGCCACAACTAGTCGATGTCATCGACGAGTATTTGTCGTCACATCTTGCCTGATAGACTTCATTAGTCATGATTTCTCACTAGAACTCCAGAAAATGTCCTGGATTCAGTCCTTAGTAGGGTCATGAGTGTGTATAACCGAAGAGTCCCAAACTAGGACGAACGTGCTGTTCAGTACTCCGTGATTTTCAATCGTTCTCTAACTGATACCGATCTGTGATCAAACTGGAGGCTAATCAAATCCTTGCAAACAAACACCCAAAAATTGAGAAACACAACCCTAACGAGGCAATCCTGAAAATCGTAGTACATGTGTTTGCTTACGTGTGTCAGTGTTGCGTTTAGTACTGTTAATATTACTTTCGTCACTATAGATACTACAAACAAAATTTATGTAGTTGTCTATGTATTATAAACTATTACCATGCTTTTTTTCAATGTTTTGCATAAATTTTCTACAGGTGGCTCGTCGTTTCGGAATTTATTTTGCCCTACATGCAGTTGAAGCTATTTTAATAGCCTATCTAATTTCTCGTGCACCTGCAGAGACAATAAGTCGTGCGACATTATATTCTATGAAAAAGGCGGATGATTCAATGCATCATCAGGTACTCGTTGCAGTATGTACTGTGTTGTCGTATATTCCTGCAAAAATTTTAGTAATATCCTGGGTTATTTTGTGTCGTTCAACTATTTCACTTACAGTTAGTAAGGTAGAAAGCAAATTTCAACAGCAGCGACAACAGTCAGACGAAAACTCAGATCGTAATCCTCATCAGGATACAAGTGATGAGTCTTCTTACCATACACCAAACGGCTCATTGTAAAAAATTATTAACAATCCTGGTTGTATTATTGACATATGCACATATTACATGAACAATGTAAAGAAGGAATTCCCTTACTGCGAAAGTATCATTCCATCTGATGTTGAAATGTATAAATGAATGAATTTGTTTTGTAACCATTTTAAAAAAAACTCATATTTCAGTTGTTTGTTGTAAAGTAAATAAACCCTCTTTATACTCAAACAAGTTGTATCTCGGGTATGAAGGTTTTGATACCTTCCATGCCCCTGCCCCCCACCCCCCCTAATTAGATCGATTATCAGAATAGCTTTGCCATATATACTACTGGTTGAAGTGACTCAAGTAATAAATGACTGTTTCACTCATTTGTGGATTCACTTAGCTTAATTCTGCTTAAAAGAATCAAATCATTAAAATGATCGTAGTTGTAGTGTACACATAGATTAAGGAAATAATTGCAACGTGATGACGTTTGTAGTTAACCGCGTGTAGTACACACTCCTAGCAACAGCAGATTACAATGAAGTTCATTATCAATACATCAGTAAAAGGAAATTACTAAAAGCTGATAAGTCCTCTCTGGATGTTTAAAGTTTCGCCTCAAATGAGTGTACATCTGATGAAGTACAGTTGTCAGTATCTGCGCTGCTAACCTCAGCGCACTGATTTCATCTATAACTTAAGTCAGTGAAGCTTCCTCCCCCCTCCCTACCCCAAAAAATGATTTCGATTGCCTGTGCAAAATATTTTACTCTTTATGGGATATATCTAATTCATTTCTTTGATTCAATATATTGTCGTCAGTACCTACCTACCTTCAGATTAAGTAAATCACTAATTTAGTTTATACTGGTGCTAGTCATTTTGCGAATGATTGGTCGTGTTAGGAGATGAAAACACTGTTAGGCCTCTACAAATTCACCAAGAAACTATTGTGAACAAGCAGTTCGTGTGAATGTTTCCAAAGCATATGGTTAGGGAATTGAATAATCTCGTTCCCACATGGTGCTTTAAATTTACAGACACTATGCAGTTTAAAATTTATACATGAATCATATCTCAAAAGCGTCTGTATCATATTTAAACTGTAGAAATAACTGAAGTTAAAGTATAAAAGTGGCAGAGGCAGTAGTCTACTGTTTTATCTTTCTGGTATGGAGGAAAAACTGGTCCCGAAAAGTGTACATCCAAACAGCAGGAAGTAAAGTATTAAGCACAGATGAGATTCCGTGAAGTAAAATCGCCAATAAAAAAGCGTCATGTTACCGATCTCAAGCAGCCTGGGCTCCACAGTCATGCAAAATCAATCCTTTCGGAGTACTAGGGAAGTATTTCACAATAGATTGACGCCTAGATATATTATTTTTTGTCACTATACGTTGTGAGTTGTTCGAACTATCATTCATATTCAGATTGTAGATGTTTTTATCAGGAAATATCATGTATTTTGGTGCGGTTTCAGGAAAAGTTTAAAAAAATGGATATTATATAAATTTACTGGTAATATTAATAAATCATTTATAACTTAGGATACTTGACAAAGAAATTAAAACCATTCTTTAAACATATGGTAAAGGCGAAATATAGTCAGTTCATAATCATCAAAATTCTTCTCATATGGTGTGATTTCTCTCCACTGAACGCCCATTTTAAGACAGACATCTTTAAGAAATACTGAAGTTGCTATGAAACAAGAAAATCTCACCCCTGTAAAGAAAGATAAAAAAAATAGATAAGAGTTAATATTATATAAACAGGGATTCTGTGTAAGGCAGTGGTGAAGTAAAGTTTTGCATACTTTCAGTCAAACAAAACTGCATATACTTTTCATCAAGATTAGGGTACTGTCTGTTTTGGGGCTTAATAGCACAGATAAATTCCTTCTTGTCATCTAGGCTCAATAAGTTCTCTTTCTTTATGCAGTTATTTCTCTTCCAATATATTCCTTTCTATTGTAGTTTCATTACCATTTCTTTCTCTACCTATGTCTGTATATTTTTCTGAAATGTAGCAGCTCGGACTGCTTCACTTTTGTGTAGAGTTCTATGTTGGTATGATATGCAATTTCAAGGAGAGTATTTAATACAGCTATATTGCACAACAAATTATTAGTATTATTGTTCCCTTGGGTTTCGAGGGGAACAGGGGCACGTCTCTATTTTGTCCTATTCTCTGAGGTCCTCTGTAGCTGGCCCCATAGTTGTTCGTAGTCTCTCATCACCTCCCAAGATCTCTTCCATGTCACCATTGGACAACTCACTCTTCGTTACACCCATTCGTGTTCCACTCTAGTGATGGCCTGGTGTGCGATGTCATTCGATGAGCACTACAGATTAGAACTAACTAGAAAATGTATAATCCAGGCCGTAATAAATCAAAGTGAATTGCATTTTCATGTAGAAAAATGAGTTATAAAAGAGATACTGAGTGCCTATAGTTAAAAAGTTTATTTGCAGGGGTATTTTAAGGTGCATGATTTTTTTTCCTGATAAGACTGCCTAACTTATGTTTTATGTGTGTTTTATTGAGTAAATAGCTGGTGAAAAACACTTTCCAAATGAACTTCATCAATCATTGACATTAGTCAGTTGCCTGAAAATCACAAAGTGCTGAAACGGTGTGTTTAATCTAAAACACAGATTGAAGTAAGAATCAACAGGTTTTGACGCAAACATATTAAAAAGGGTTAAAATAAAGCCGTAGCATTCTGGCGTATGACATGGCATCTAATAGGGCAATTTCGAGATGAGTTCTATGCATCTGGACGTATGTGTCTTCAGTAGATTACTCAAATGTGCTGAAATCAAAAAGTGAGCTATAATTTCGATCAGAATTTGATGACTTTATGAATATTCTCAAACTAGTTTGAATGAAAAAAGGTTCTACGAATAATAATCCACTAATTTTCAGTGAGAGAATATTACCAATAACAAAACTTATCATTGTGTGTAAACTATTGAAATATAATTATACTTTATTTGATCTAATCCACAATGCTCAAACTTTTTACTGATATTAAGAGAAATAATAGTTGAATTAGGATAAGAGAAATGATAAGTACTGTCAGACCAATCAGTGACACCCATCCATGAAGTCATTGACTTCAGCCAAAAATTGATCATAGTGGCGAAATGTATTCATCCTCTGTCACTTTACTTATTACAAATATTTTTACTAAGCTTTACTTAACTATCATCTTATCTGCTGTACTCGTATTCAAGTATGGTCACAGATTGATTTCAGTTGCAGAACTATTGAAAACCAGGGAGAACTGAATGGCTGTTTCGTCCTTCCTTAGGACACTTGAGTAGTACGCACTCATGACCTCACCGGGAGATTGAACCCAGAACGTTCAGGATATGAGATGAGCTTGTTGATGAACCAGCCACTGGGACGAAACCCAATAGTCTGTGAACTCAAACTTCTGTCATTTAGTGATTTTAGCGTTTCCCACAATCACTATCATCGGGTAGTATTTGTCCTCACACTTCATTCGATTATCAGTGGGGTTATGGGTGCGTAGTGTAGTGTAGATTCCAAAAGAAGGACTTGGAAGCTGTCCGCCACTCCCTGGTTTTCAATGGTTGTCTAACTGATACCAATCTGTGATTAAACTAAAAAACAATCAAGTCCCTACAAGTTAACTCTTCAGAATACTGATATTCGTTTACTCTGATAGCATTTAATTTGTATTCGTCCCTAATTTGAATGAATGCACTTTTTCATACAGATTATATATATATATATATATATATATATATATATATATATATATATATATTGGTTTATGTGTCAAGGCAGGTGTTATGCAGTGTTATATATCTTTGCACATCTACAATTTGTTTCAAGAGTTACTTACATTCTGGATAGTCTTTGGATTCTTTACCAACTAATTGTATCTCTGTTGAAGGAGGTTGCTTCATTATTTCTTTATAATTATCATCATTATCAGGAGTGTATATGGCTGTAATTGATAGCTGCAAACTGTAAGACAATATACATATGGGATGAAATTATAAGTTGAAATTAAATTATTTCTACTTTTTGTGATGATTTTGATTACTTTTTATTCATTTCATACTTTCAACTTAAGAAATACTTATTAACTGACAGTGGTGTCGGTGGCACAGTGGTAAGGACTCTCGCCGACCATGCACATGGCCCGAGGTCCGATTCCCTGCCGACGCACACCGGATATCTATGGTCAGCCTGCGAAATTTGGGCTACCGACATCCACGCTGAGAATTCCATACTTGTACCAAAAATACAGTGTGGAATCAAGCTGTAAATCAAAAATAAATAAAAATAAAATTACCATCTCGTTAACATTACGCATGGTGTAGTATTTGAAAGCTCTGTATTATTATTATATTGTGAAGGTGTTGATGAGGATTTGAACGAGTAGAAATATGCTTCTTCACTGAACATATTTTTCTCTTTTACTAGCTCAGATCTTTTTGCAGAATTTAAGCATGAGAAACCAAGTTTTAATTATATCCAGTCCCTATTAGTTGATTGAGACGAGTGTTTGTATACTACTCATATCAAGCAGTAATGTTTGTAGAGACCAAATTTAGTCCTTTTCGTCTAGACGCTAGAAACTAATTTCTACGTTACACTGTATAGCTGGCTGGAAAAGAGCTAGCGGCGGTCAAACCAAAACATGGCTTCACCAGTCAATGAAATCTACAACAGTTAGTCTAAGCCACGTAGGAAGGTGTAGACTTCTGGTTGGGGTCCCCGGGACGGTAAAAACCAATGGTTGGAAACAATTGGTGACATGGCTCAAAATCGTTCTCAATGGCTTGGGCAGATGCATCCACTCCTTGTGACTTATGATTTCCAATGGAACTATTTTGTTCTTCGTTATTACTCTTCCTTTGTCTCATATCCCTGTTTACTGTTTCTATTATGCATTTCTTGTACTTTCTTCTCTTGCTTTGTGTGCTACAAGGAGGGAGTGTGGCGACTTGAACTGGTGCACATATGTGCAAAGTTCTATGTCGAAAACAGACAGACTGTGTAGCTGAAACATCTTCGTTGAGACGCGCGATATCATGAAACGTTCCAAAAAGCAGGAAAAATACTATTGTTCTCCAATATTTTAGGGGTTCTACTAAACAATAATAACATCAAACTCAAAATTACCTCAACAGTGCCGTTAGGCGGATATATACAGGTAATGTATGTTTCTAAATACAAAACAAGTAGGCCAAGTTAAACTTTAAGCACCACTAACTACTAATCAGCGAATGACCTCGGACGCATCGATCACGTGAAGGAGTCATTTTTGTGTATGGAATACATATATTTATGAAATAATGCGTAAAAATTGTAGAAAAGTATTACTGAGTATACCTTGCTCTCACTTGTGATAAAAATAGCTCTCAGTTTTAGGTTGGAGTATCAACAGAGTATAATTCCATTATGGGTAAAATTTATTTTGATAAAGGCTCATAGTGTTATGCAGTAATACTTCCTGAGCGATAAATTGTGCTCGAAACGTGGTCATCAGGAAATATTACTGTATAACACTGTGAGGCTTTATCAAAATACTCTACCACAGTGCACAGGTTCTATTCTTATATCAACAGATTAATGTAACTACATTCTATGCATGTAATTATTTAGTTCTTCTTAACCTAACAGTAACCATAATCTTTCCTGAACCTAACCCTAACGTGAAAATATCCCTAAACTAACTGTAATCTAACTTTACGTGACCCTAATGTTGCCTTTATTAGGTTAACCCAACCCTAACTTGTCCTTGGCATAAACCGTAACTTAATCTTTCCCAAACCTAAGCTGTAACTTGCCAGATATCCCATTTAATAGCATAACACTTCGATGAGCATACTTTATTGATGATGACAACATTACTTGCCAGGTTTCACTAACTTGGTCAGTGAGCGTTTCAAGGCCATTGCTGCTATCGCACTCCATTGGTAGTCAGTGATGCATGAAGTTTAACTCGGCCAAAAAGTACTTAGAATCGTCAAGGAGAATATTCTCAACGAAGTGGGGACAAGAACTCTGTCTACAAGAATCACACACCAAGGTTTCCTGGGTCAGAATAACCTTCGAAACAAATTCATATAGTTAAACAACACATTGTCAATGTACACATAAAGACGTATTATAACTAAATCCAAATTACCCGATATCTGCGTAGATATTTGATCGAATTGTTAATAACATCAAATTCGTAACTTGCGGTCTACATAATTCGAGGTTACATTTCACCACAGTTTCCTATAGAAATTGAAATTATTGAGATCACAACATGTGATCCGCTTGATACCAGAAAAACAGTTATAAAGAAAGCAAACACAATTGCATGAAGGTATATGCTACCGATTGATTGACACGGTTAGTTGTCTGTTTACCAAAGAAAAGTGCGGTTAAAATTTCACCTCGAAATATGTAAATTTCAAATTACGAATCTTATTTATTCTACATATTTGGAATAATTTGATGTACACTCAGTTTTGTTAGACAGAAGAAAGTAGAAGAGCAGTTGTTCTTCTACTCTTTTCCTTAGTGTCCCGATTGTTTAATTTGTGTTTACCTGAGTTTTTGATTATTGTGGTTGTGTGTCTATATTATATTATTATTATTATTATTATTATTATTATTATTATATCCTTTAATTCATAGAGGAACATAGGGCTTCAGCTGCGCACCTCCATTGCCTTCTGTTTTCAGCCAACTTTTTCTCCCCGCTCCAAGTCTGCCCACATGCTTGCATCTCCTCTTCACATGACCTCCTCCAAGTCACTCACATTGACAATCAACTCGCCCCTTCCCTTTCGGGTTCCAATCGAGTAATGGCTTGTCTAGTGATATCACTTTATGGTTTCCTCAGAGTATGGCCAATCCATATCCATTTCTTCCTGCCTATTTGTTTCACAATCGGTTCCTGCTGGGTTGGTTCGCTCCCAGAGATCCCTGTTGCTGATCTTTTCTGGCCATCTGATCTTGAGTGGTATTGAGCGAAGATAACTGTTAATGAAGGTCTGAAGTTTGTTTGAGGTGCTCTTTATGACGCGCCAAGTCTCTGATCCGTATAGTGAGTAGTACTGACTTCACATTGGAGTTGAAAATCCCGATCTTATTTTTTATGGTGAGTGCTGTTGACCTCGACACAGACTTGAGAGTAATGAAAGCCTGTCTTGCTTTTCCAATTGTGACTTTGATATCCTCGTCAGTTTCGCCTGTAGTTGAAACGATGCTTCCTGGGTAGGTAGGTAAAGAGGTTGTTTCTTTCAGGTTCCTCCCATTTATGCTGACTGTTGTCTGTTGTTGTTGTTGCTGTTGGTGTTGGCCAAGAATCTTCATCACCTCTGTTTTATCTATGTTCACCTGAAGTGAATTCTTATATTTGATGCTTGTTCTGCCAACTTGTTACTTTTCACTTGCATATCTTCCAGTTTGTGGGAAATCAGAGATATACCTATATCATCGGCGAAGTCCAGATCCTCCAAGTTTTTTGTGTGAGTCCATTTTATGCCTGTTTCCTCATTGCCCGTTGTCTGTCGCATTATCCAATCTACTGCAATCAGGGGAATCATTGGCGATAGTAGGCAGCCTTGCATCACTCCCGTCCTCACTTCGAAGGCTTCCGTGTGTGTCTATACCGATATACTTTTTAATTGCAGATTTAAGTCAGTCATTACTACTAGGCCACTAAAGGCTCTTGATGTCAACCAGCTTCTTAACATCTTTCAGGAGATTAAAGAAGTTTAATGAGCCCTAATGGTCTTCAGATGTTTAATATTCAGCGATCAATCTGTCTACCTTTACTAATAGATTCCAAAGAAAAGTGTCCCAGACAGTTAAAACTTAAACGAATACAGGCATTGTAGTTGTAGTGTGAGTCTATGGAGTATAGGGCTTCAAGCCTGCGCTTGGAAGTATCAGCAGTGGTTGTACGCTTTTTGTAAGATGGGATCGCTAGCCCCACATCCAGTCTCCCGCTTTTTTCCGGATTAATACTGGCAAGTAAACTAGACAAGGTTTAAAAGTGCATCGATGGGAAATCGAACTCCTTACATGATTGGCGAGAATGCTACCCTAGGTCTACCGACTCACGTTGTTGCTTGAGTACGTCTTTTAATGGTGTAAGTGTAGTCTCTCTCTCTCTCTCCCTTTTCAAGAGGTAGTTAGTATTAGGTACAGCCTTTCACATGGTCAACTTATAAGTCTAATATAGTAAATGGTTACATAACAGTCACTAGTGTTATGCCTAGTTGAAGTCACCGAGTACACAAGTTCATTGTGCTTCAAGAAATGTGAGTAACTTTTCTCCCATAACCTTATTCTAAAAATAATCATTCAATATAAAAGATATATACTCTGATACAATATCTACCTTTAAACTTATAAATTAGGATCGGTTTTTCACAAATCTTATCTGATATAATTAAACATAGGCTGTTAGAAATTCACAAATTTTTAACTCACTGCATCGAACCTCGAATCGATGTTTGAGTGGTATTAGTCCATGTTACTAGTTTTCCAGATCTAAGTGAGTTAAGTCTTTCTGTTAGATAATAGGCGAATCGGTCGACAATATTTCCTTCATCGTCATCCTTATTAAATACTTTAATATCTAGTGTCGCTCCATCCATAGATCTTCGCTAAAATAAGAAAGAAAAAAATACGCGCTGATTTGGAATTCCAGATAGTGTAACTGCTAACTAATGTATATAGTATCACTAATAATAAATGTCACAAAGAAAATTTTTAAAAAGAAGTTCGTAGAAGTGAAAATAACAGAAAGGAAGGCTTCCTTTAAATCGATTAACTCAGATATTTGATAATTATTTTTCAGCTTCATACTGTAGCTATTTCCATAAGCTTTTGTTTCATCTCTCAGTAGTACACAAGTTATAGTTGTGTTATGTACAAAATATGTCATTCTTTTTATTAGAGCAAATACCTTCATTGAATGAATGTATATACATTATTGTATTATTGTTTGCTTAAAATAGACAGTAGTTCACATATCTATCTCACTATTATCATCACCACCATCATCATCATCACAGTAGGAATGATGATTGATAAAGTTAATAATAATAATAATTTACTTTACTCCAAAAACAGTACTTATAATACAGAATGGAATTCTCAGCATTTGTCACAATATTGCATCTGATTTACTTAAAATATAAATAAAATTAAAATTAAAACAAAAGTAACCAGAGGAATTTGTCCACGTTTACGATATAAAGTCAAAAATATTCGAAGCACGAATTGAGAATATTAAATATAATAATAATAATAATAATAACAGTGAGTTTGTTTCAAACAGTATTGTCGATTCAGTTTGGAAATTTTAGAGTATTGAATATAATGTTCTGTTGATATGGTATAGTGAGGGGAAATACAAGATTAACAGTGGTAACACAGCTTAAACGATGTTCACACTTATGAAAATAAATAAATAAATAAAAACAAAAAATTGAGAGTATTGTAAATATAAGAAATACAATAACAATAAAGTTTGGTACTGTAAGGATGGAAGAAATGGTTTATTTAGTAGTGCAAAGAAGGTTAGTTAGTTCATGCCTGACACCATTTTCATCACATAAAGTACGTGCCAAATACGGTATAGTGGAATTTTTATACTTAAACGTACGTGCATAAAGTCTTCTGAAAAGACTTCTTGTTTTACCTGAGGAGACACAAGGTTGGAGCTGAGGGTAGAGTTGGTGCTCAGAGTCTGACAAAATTTCTTTAGCAAATTTGTTGCATGACATCAAGTGCCTATCCGTGACAATGTCAACGATATGACCCAATGGGATAGAACTCGTCCTACTGACAGTCTTCAAAGTTCTACAAAGTATGACATAGTCTTTTTTAAGCAATCCAGGAAAGAATAAGGGTGAACAGTACAGAAGAATAGGTAAAATACACGAGTTGACAAACTGTAAGAGGAGGGGTTGGGTTATGCCTGAGTGTCTCAACTCCTTAATGTAAAAGGTCAGGCGGAATATTCTTTTAGAAATCGCTAAGACATGGGAAGACCAGGATAGGTCAGAAGAAAGAATTAATCCAAGATACTTAACTTCAGACTTGATTTCCATATCAGTATCATCAATTTTGCAAGGGTCATAGGAACCAGCGGCTTCATTTAATTTTCGTTTACATCGGAAACTGAAATTAACAGTCTGACATTTGGAAGGATTTAGTTTAAGGCCGTTACACAAAGATCATTTGGTAATTCGTGATAGAAAGATGTTCATCTTAGCACAGTCAAGCTTGGAGTTAACAGACGTTGAAATAGTTACATCGTCGGCATACTTAACAAAGTTCATTTCATCAGAGTGAGGCAAATCATGCAAGAAGAAAGAAAATAGAAAAGGAGAAAGGACAGCGCCTTAAGCGACATCAGCCTCAGTAAGCAATGAAGTGGACGACTTTCCCTGACATACAGTGTACTGCTTTCTTCCTGAGAAATAAGAATGCAGCCATTTGACAATCCAACAGTCAGTTTGAGTTTCAGCAAGCTTGTTTAACAAGATGCCCCTAGGTACTGAGTCGAAAGCAGATATGTAATCTAGGAAGGCTCAGCGAACAATTTAGCCCCCTTGTCTAAGCTGGAGACAATGTTATGGAACAAGACTGTAACTGCATCTAAAGTACTTCTACTGTGTTTATGAGTGAATTGTTTGGGATCGTTAAAGGCTTTAAGTGAAGGTTGAAGACTAAGTAAGAGTAACTTTTCCATAGCTTTTAGAAAAGGAGACGTAATAGCAATAGGTCTAAATTTAAAACATGTTCCAGTAGACGACTTAGGGATAGGTACAATTTTGATGTCCTTCCAAACGGCTGGCACGACATTTCTGGAAAAAGATTCGTTAAATATGTCCATGAGAGGATAACACAGGATGTCTGCACATTTTGTGAGAATAACACTAGGCAAACCGTCTGGGCCCAGGCTAAAAGAAGGGTTCAGAGACTGGAGACATGTAATGTTAATGTAATCTGTGATGATATAATCCTTTCAATTTAAATTATAGACTGGAATCAATTAAATAACCATTGACCAGATACCATTCACTGGTTTTCAACATATATAATCATTTGCTGTTTTAAAGACTTTTCCGAACAGCTTTTTCAGTTAGTGTACTACGAAAAATCCGTAATCTATTAACAGTTTACTCACATATACACCTTCGGCATTCTTTATCCTAATGCTTCAGTTTCGTTAAAAAGTATTAACCTTGTCAGTATCGATTTTTCTTTGACTATTATGGATAGATAACTGTGGAGGTTTAAAAAGAAACGAGGATTATTCACTAATCATTGTAATGAAAATTATAATAGACATTTTTAAACAACTAAGAATAATTCCTGAATTTAAATAAGGTAAGGTTTTTCATGTTACGCATTTTACTTTACCGAATTTAGAAGTTTGTATGATCATGGTCTAGATATTGTCTTCGTTGTGAACAGTGAACACACTTGATGTTATATGGTTGGAGGAAATGAGCAGGAAGTCTCGTACCTAGGTTTTGTGCCAGTTGACACTCATCGGTCAACAAGGCGTATTCGAACCAGTACTGCAGTCAGAGTCGTTACCACTGAGTTATTCGGTCGGGCTCACGACTGATCTTTTGTAGGACTTTAATCAACTATTCAAAGTGCACCGTGATGGCAAGCCACCTAGAATGGTGGCCACACTGCCAGCGTGACTGATAGAATTCAGTCTGCACCAAACAAAGGACTTGACTCATTGCACTAGTTACTAACTAGTGTCCAGTTAAAAAAGAAAACAGTTTTTAGCATAAACTATTTATGTTATAATCTCAGTGATATTTATGACGCTATATATACCACTGGACATCGCTTACATCAACCTATTGTGCTTGCTAGCTAGACTGAAGTGAAAGTGTGGTGAAATTTCACCTCGAACTGGGTAAGCTGCAAATTGCCAATTAACGTATTACTAATTCGCCCAAATAGCTGTCCAAAATTCAGTTGGTTTGAACTGATACAGTTCTCTAGGCTGAGTCAAACCGTGTACGTTATTGGCTAACCCGGCCCCAAATGTCCGAAACGGCCGTCTAGTGCAGACATCACTTCTATTGGGTTACCGGGTACTAGTAGTGTAATGGCAGAACATAAGACTATTTCGTGATGGAATTCTTTTTTTGGTAACTCCATGTACAGATACAGGCGAAATACATCTACCATATATTAAAATGAAAAGTCGCAACTATCTCCTGTATTGCGCTACTTTTGTCTTTTTTTCACTGTTCTCTATATTGTTTCACAAGAATCGTTCATTTGTTTCCCTTGCCATTGAGTCTGTCTCTCCGCTATTCAATATTTTTGCAGGTTTTATACATACTGATTTCATGCATTTATTCCCCTTAATTAATTTGAATAATGAAAACAAAACACTTAGATCAGCGAAGAGTCTCTTTTCGGTGAATTCATTTTCTTAGCTGTACAATCGCAAATATATATGCATTGTTTTGTATGTATGTGTACATTAAGTTTGTCAAACAAAGTTACAATTGGTTAAGGTTACTTTTAACTAAACAAGTGAAGGTTGGTAATACAGGTCAAGAAAATTAAGTGCTAATGAAACTAGGGTAGTAAAAAAATGATGAGTTGTCACAAACAGTTGTAATAATAATAGTGAGTTTTACTCAGGATGCACATAGAAACAAAGTAGATAATACGAAACTATGTAAGAGATCTAAGTGGATACAAGAATTATAATTGCTTAAGGTTATTTTAACTAAACAGGTAAAGGTTGGTAATATAAGTCAAGACCATTAAGTGCTAGGGTAGTAACAAAGGTGATGAGTTGTCACAAACAGTTGTTAAAAGAAGTTATATAATAGTAATATGAATAGTTTGATGAGTGAGTTTTACTCAAAATGCACATAGAAACAAAGTAGATAATACGAAACTATGTAAGAGATTTAAGTGAATACAAGAATTATAAGCAATTAAGGAACAGGCAAAGAAACAAAATTAAGTCATCAAAATAAAAATAAAAGCTCAAAACAAATCAAAACATTGTTACCATGAGAGTAGAAGTGGTTGAGTAATCTTCTTTTGTATGCACAGCTCCGGTTTTTCCATGTGAATGGCCAGAGCTTCAGCGATGCAAAGGAGACGAAACCGTATTGCCTTTGATATGTTATTCTTGACTCTGTAGATTACTTTGAAGGAGGCGTTCGTTGAAATGCAATGATCAGTGTTGACCAGGTGTTCAATTATCGCACTCCTTATTGCACCAGTATTGCCTTTTCGCAACCATGCTGGATAATGTTCTTGAATTCTCTTGGACAGGATGCGCGTCGAACGACCGATGTACCTGGCTCCACAGCAGCAGGTGAACTGGTATATGCACATAGAAGTGGCCAGATGCGGGATCTTGTCCTTGAGGCTTCTGCAGATCAGTGGGCGACTGGAGAACACTATTCGTAGCGTTGCTGCAAAGAACGTTCTTCTCAGAGATGATGTGATCCTTCTCTTGAGAATATCGCTTGCTAAATCTCCCTTGAAATCCAAATTCATGTAGATTTTCTTTTTAGGCGCAGTTAAAGTTTCGTTTTTCCGAATTATTGGTTTCATATTTTTGTCGATAAATCTTTTTGGGTATCCATTTTGG